GGTAGGATGGGGAAAGAATGATGGAGAGATGTTTTATACCCTAGTCCCAGCATTAGCAGACATCAAGTGATTGCCGATAGGCAAGGGGCAAAATAGCAGACAGTGAGGAGTGAATACGATCACACAGACACACTCTATTTCTAAACATGAGAACTAGAAACACACTGAGCAAGAACACTGAGTCACAGTTTTTTAAAATTTCCCCCAGAGTTTTCCAGCCTTCAGTCTACAAACATATGCAAAACACGAAGAAAAGGTTTTCCTCCTACAAACAGTTTTCTCAGTGTTTACATTTTCTTTCGAGAGTTTATGGAGTTCCAGGTAAACCTTGAAATACAATTTTATTTATTTAGTTTTGCGATACAACTTTATCTTTGAATTTGGATGTGTTTAGGTATGCTGAGGTTTTTAAGCATTTCAGATTAAAAAGGAAAATATATTGATAAAACTGAGACTTCAGATAGGATAGCCTGTGTGGGGCACCTGTCATAAATGGTGCCTGGGGTTTGCTTCTTTGCTTTTAGTTCTTGGATTCTTGGGGGGAATAAATTGGAAAGGTAATTTATTTTATGGCTTAAATAAAAAGACCTGCTTTGGAGTTAGAGGAAGAAAAAGCCAGGACTGAGGTCAAGATCAAAGTGGGTACTTACTATTTTTCTGTATTGCATGGCTCATACTCTGATAATTAACTTTTACTCATGGTTGTCAGTACATTTTATCTGTTCTTTTAAAAACAATTTCCTCTGAGGCTATCATTAGATACAGCATCTCGTCTTTTGTCATCATTTGTGTGTTAATTCCTAAAATGATCTGTGACCAATTGGAAAGAGGATGAACTAGGGCCTTACGTCCCAGGGACCTGGAATCCTGCCCTCCCCCGGATGGTTTTGCTCTGGGCCTTCAGATGGCGGCGGGAGGCAGAATAACAGCCCCAGTGAGAACTAGGAAGTGGCAAAAACGTAGCCAAAGGAGGCCTTTAATAAAATCTGTTAGGCTCTGTTAACCCCCTTGTTAAGTTAGATTGGTTTACCAGCTTCTTCGCGTTGTTCATGGGTCCTGAGAGTGGCATTTTTTATTAATGAGCTTGGCCTGGAAATAAGTGGCCATTTGAAAGCGGTGAACAATTTTGTTTGTCAAGGCCTCAGTCTCTCGTGACTGGTGACCTGTCACTTACTTTGAAGGTACTTTGGGAGCAGATCTAGCCCTCTTCATCTCCCTGCCCCCACCTTTGAAAATGTTGCCACTTTCCCTGGTGTTAGAGAACTAAAGTTCCCGTCAACTTAAAGATCTAATTGGTTTATCAAACGATTCATGAATGCGGCAATATCCATCTAGTAAAGAGAAAGGTGCTCAGAGGAGTTGCACAAAATGGAGGATTTTTATAGGCAGAGAGAGGGTGGGACAAGGAAGTTAAAGGAGTGGATTGTTTCAGGCAAGGTCACCTTCCTGAAAGCAGACGGTTTTATCAGGCAGATGACCTCACTAGCCCAGACCAGGAAAGTCCAGATTGATTGTTTTAAAATTCCATTCCTGGGAGAGGCACTCAGTTAGATTAGGACTTAAGTCTTGGTGGGGCTTCTCACAAGGGACTCATTTTGGGCCTTTTGTTTCTTTCTTTTTTTAAATCCTCACCCGAGAAGAGAGAGAGAGATTGACTTTTTCACTTATCTTCAGGTAGGGAGGGAGGGTGGGAGGTAGAGAGAGAGAGAGAAACATTGATGTGAGAGAGACCCATCGATTGGCCTTGGGGCTGGGGACCAACAGCAACAGAGGTACATGCCCTTGACCAGAATCGAACTTGTGACTCTTTGGTCCATGGGCTGACGCTCTAACCACTGAGCCAAACCAGCCAGGGCTCTTTTGTTTCTTTTTAACACTGGGAAGAATCGCAAAGGTAATCAGGTGTTCTGTGAAATACTGACCCTGTTAATATCAGAGTTCTGTTTCTTAATTGAGATATAATTCATATATCATAAAATTTACCCCTTTAATGTGTACAATTCAGGGGATTTTAGTATATTCACAAGGTTGTATAAACTTGGCGCTGTCTAATTCCAGAAATGTTCATCACCCTAAGAAGAAACCGTATTATTAGCAGTTATTCCCCTTCTCCCCTGCCCCCACCTGGCCACCACTACTCTATGTCTATCAAATGTTCTGCTTTATATTACCCTGAAATCTGTTGTTCCTGTAACTTCATGGTTAGATGAAATGGGAAGTGGGAGCTACAAGAACAGACTCTTGGGGCCGGGCCTTACTTCTCACTTCCAGCCCCAGAGCAGAGGGAAGGTGGTCAGCTGAGACTCTGAGTTTGGTTCTCTTACCGCTTGTGATTACATTTACCTAAAATATTGAATGCCTGGAATATTGCAAGAAGTTGAGTCTGACTTGATAATGAAATCAGTTTGTGGCAAACCCCCTTTTGAATTCTAAGTACGGAATCGCCAACAAAAGCATGAACGTTCCTCTCTACCTTTTTGTTCTGTAACTTGAAAATAATCAGAATTCCAATCATATAGGACTTTGTCAGTCAAAACCGGAAAAACAGGTAGCTTGCACAGATTGTGGGCTTGGTATATATATGTCAAATACACTTTGAATATAATCCTTTGGATTTCTGCCCATTGCCCTCGTATGAGATCTTGAAGTATGGGAGTTCTGAAGATGAATGGGGATTAATTTAAAGGGGGGAAGGGGAAGTGCCAATCCTCAGCAGTTTTCCTTGACTGTAGTGGAAAGAATAGACTTTGAGAAGTGCTGACGAAATAGGAAGTGTGTAAGGGAACCACTGGGGACGCTCAGTGGATGCTCTTGGCTGGTAATAAAAATTTGTTAGCTGTGATGTGTTCCTAATTGCTCAACTCCCCTGGACTGTCCTAAATGGTTTCTTAAAGAAACGGAGTGCTGGAGCTTCTCCCAAAGTTTCCACTTTTTAAGTAGCTGTGTTTTTCAGTGTCAGTACTGCATGTCGCTCTCCTTTGTAGATTTGCTTGGCAAGCAGCTGCAGGGACTGGCACACTTCCTCTGGGCCACTGGGATGGGGAGCAGGAAGGATGGACTCCCAGAAACCATGCCTATTAAGGTGTGGGTGTTGGGAAAGCTAGTGAATACGCACATAAATCTAAAAACCACCAGAGTAGGGAGTGGTTGTTGGACCTTTTACAGTAAAAGGTGGTAATTGCTTAATGCAGGTGCCCTTTTGTGTCCCGCCTCTGGCTCTCCTGTTGTTATAAGTGACAGGTGCTGGCCCAGGTTTGGAATTGATGTGGCTTTCCCTCCCTTGACTTGGCAGAAGAAACAGAAATATATTATTGGGGTTTAATGCATGAAAATGTTGCAGTTTAAAAGTGCTTTTGAAACCGGACAACAAATGGGTCCAGGCTGCCTGTCGCTACTTGAGCCAATTAAGCAGAGACAAGGTGGAATCGTATATGAGCATTTATTCCATACTGACGGCTGTATGGGAGAGCAGCCAGGTCATCCTGCAAAAATCTGCTCTGCACTCCCCTTAGCTGGTTACTTACGTTGGGTATTATTACATGGGGAAGTAGGCAGAAGGGAATATCAGTGGTAAAATGGTTGGCAAAGTAGGCAAACGGATTAACGGTGGATACAACAGTTACCATTTACAGGCAAGGGGAAGTAATGGGAGCTGGGGAATGGGCTGTCTCCAGTGTGCTTCCTCCGAGACTCCAAAGTTGTTAGTCTTTCCATGATTGGGTGGGGGAGGGCGCTTCTCCGGTAAGGAGAATGGACAGCAGCCCCGAGGTAAACTCCCAGGTGTGCAGCTCCCAGCCAGGTCAGACTAGGCTTTCTTTAATCAGAACAAAGCAATCACAATGGACAGAGCAAGGATGTTCAACATTTCTTCTAACTATGGCTAGCACCCCACTGTGATCAGTTCTCCATTGTTCTCTCTGCCCCTTTCACTTTGAATACAGTTGAGTCCATCTGAAACAAGTACTTTCTGAAAACTATTCCTTTCAAGGGTGGTTGGTCTTTTTGTTTATTCTGTCCAAACACATATGGGGGGGGGGGTGTTGGCGGTCTACAGAAGAATATTTTCAACTCCATTGAATTATGCCTGACCCCCTTTTAATCTGTTTTTAAAATTCAGTAATGCCTGACCTTTCTTGCCATCATGTCCAAAAAATTCCCAGTAGGGAAATAAAGCAAAATTCCTTCTATCAATTCTTACTCTTCACCCCCTGGATTCCCAATACTTTGCAGTAACTGCTTTTCAGCCGTTTAGTTTATTTCCTTACAGTAACGACTCAATGAACATGTAAATGAATTCATGTATATCTGTAGTGCTTTTTAAATGACATACCCGAGCCTTTTCAGTAACATCCTAAAGAGGTGACATAATTTTACGTTTTAAAGGGAGTTGAAATTCCCTGCTCCAATAAAAAAAAAAATGTTGCCTAGATATTATAATTATAATAAGTCCTCACTTAACATTGTGGAAAAGTTCTTGGGACTGCTCCCAAACAGGTTAATTGATATAAACAAGAGTTAAGTTCCTGCGGATCTCAACATTATGATGAAACGATGTTGACCCAAACAACATTATGTGAGGACCTACCTTATAAACTTTTGAGATGTAGTGACTTGCATAGAGTTACGAATTAATACATATACCCCAGAACTGGACTTATCTGCCACATGACAAGGAACTTTATGTATTCTGGTGATTGACCTGAGATTGCTTCTAAAAACTGAAAAGCAATTTTTGTTCATTTCTCTGAACTATCACTTTAAGAAGAGGGACCATAGGTAGTACAGGGAAGCCTTTTGGGGTAATAATAGGGCTGCTACTGAGTTCCTCTGTTTTGTGCTTTTTGGGGTGTGTTGGTTCACAGTTAAAAATAGAGATCTAATTAAAATGGGTGTTGTCTCTGGAAATAAGCACTATATTCCAATTAGTAAATTTCCTGTTTCCTTAACATGTGTTTTTTTTGTTGTTGTTCACTTTTAATTTTTTTTTTTTTTTTAAACAGCAAGCCAGAGCTGAGCAGGAAGAAGAATTCATCAGTAATACGTTATTCAAGAAAATTCAGGCTTTGCAGAAGGAGAAGGAAACCCTTGCTGTAAATTATGAGAAGGAAGAAGAGTTTCTCACCAATGAGCTCTCCAGAAAACTGATGCAGGTAAATTACCTTTTCTCCCCTCTCATCTTCACTGCCTGCTTTCCTCTCTAGGAAAAATGACTTTGATAGAGCAGTTTGCCGAAAACATTTGCTGATGAGGTTGTAGCTAACAATCTTTGGAGATTAAAAATACCAGGTAAAGATGGCGGCAGTGTGATACCCAAGACTGTGGTTCCGTAGCTCACCTGCTCAGGGAAGGGAAGGTACTTATACCAGCATTTCAAGAAACTGCTGAGGAGCATGGGAGCAAATGCTGTATGCAGTATTTTGGAAATGCGGGGATTAATACCAAATGTGAGATTTCTTTCCCCCTTTATATTGAATCTGTAATGAATGCATAAACATTTTTGGCAGTCAAAAGTGGGTCTTTTGTACTAAAATATGAAGATATAAAGTAAGATGTCCATTTGGGGGAATAAATAAAAGGTATTCACAGTCTGTGGTTAAAATTACGCACAATCAGTTGTGTTCAAACAGGTAATAGGTTCCGAACAAATATCAGACTCCTATTAAAACTTCACATTAATCACTAATAGTATGTAAAAGACACCACACAAAACATACAAGGTTAGATTTTAAAATTTATTTTTTTAGTTCAAAGACTCTCTCCCCCTCTCTTTTTTTTTTAATCCCCCCCCCCCCACCAAAAAAAAGCTTACTAGTAAAGTACAAAAGTAAAATTTGTTTAGGACAAACATGTTGTGGGCTACTTAGTATGAACTTAAGAATAAGTAGGATATTGAGTTTTTATTATTTACCACAGCTTGTCCAAAATAGTGAGCAGAGATACAATATTGCCAGGAGGACCTTGCTGCCATTCTGTAGAAGGCACTGGAGGGCGGAAACATGCCCCTGTGTTTTCTGTTCGCGGATATCACTAACAGTTTAATTCATTCATTTGGTTGACATACATATTTTAGTGAGATGTTAATAAAAGGATATTCCAGGCTTTTAAAAAACTTCCTAAATTCTTTTCTTACCATTCAATAGAAATTATTCTATAGAGAAGACTGGAAGCTTCAGTATAGAAACTTCAGTGTTAAGACCATATAATGGTCCGGGTAGCTTTTACTCAGTCATTGTTTTATTCTCGTTTTTCTACCTGATTACTGAATAAAGATACCATTACAGTCTTGCAGAAAACTTGATTTATATGGCAGCTGTTGAACTGTGAAGATTAGAGGTACTCAGGCATTCATGTCTAGCAGAGATTTATGGCAGGATTTCCACATGGACACGTTTTGTGGATTCATGCGCGTTTTGATTTTGAGAAAAAACGAGGGAGGAGGTTAGTGTGGCCTTTGATTGTCTCTCACTCACTTTGGCAGTCCTAGACGACTTATTCCCCATGTTGCTTCCAGAACTAAAGGGATGCAATTATGGTTTGTTCTGAGTTTGGTGTGTGATCAGGTGTCCTAATTTTTAACACTATAAGAAGCATTTTTTGTTTTCAACTTGCATGGTTGTTCGTATTTGGAGTCTTTGACCAAAGTACATTGCAAAGCCGCAAAACCTGGCCAGGTCACCCTCCTTTTTCTGTCAAGACCTCATCTACATTGTGAGTGCTTCTGTAATGTTGATTAGTCTATAATCTGCCTCAATTTACTTATCACGACCTACCCACTTTCGGGGGCATTGAAATAAAATACTAAGTAGGAGTGAAAACGAGCCATGTGCCACAGAAGGGGAACTTAGTCTCATAGTAATACACTTGGCATAAGAAAGTTAGAACTTAAAATTTAAGCTCTGAGCATCCTATAAAGCTGTAACCTGGAGAAATATAGTAATTTTTAAAAAAATAATTCATATATCTTGCCCTGGCCGGTTTGGCTCAGCGACTAGAGCATCAGCCTGTGGTCCAAAGAGACCCGGGTTTGGTGTCTGCTAAGGGCACGTACCTCGGTTGCAGTTTGTCCCCGGCCCTGGTTGGTTGTGCGGGTGGCAGCCACTCGATGTGTCCCTTTCACATCGATGTTTCTCTCTCTCCCTCCCACTCTATCTGAACAAAAAATGGAAGAATGTCCTAGGGTGAGGATAAAAAATAATAATTCATATATCTAAAAAAAAGTTTTAGTTGGTTAGAAGAAAAAAATTTATATATTAAAAACTTAACATTTTTTTGAGGGGCCTTGTATCTTTCTAAAGAAACTAATAACATATACATTGAACAACGCAATAAACTCTTTTTTGCCAGAAGTAACATATAATGAGTAGTAGCACTAGTCTTCATGTGGCCAAGTCTTATTTGCCCTCAGTCAAAACAAAGGGTATAATATGAAGGTGCGATTTTATTGTTTAGGGAGTTCTAGGTGGCTCTGTAGCTTGTTAGTGATCTAACTTTGTAGTATCTGGATAGATGAATGGTCAGCATGTCTCTTGAGATAATCTCTCATGAATCCTAGCTTAGCTCTTAGGAGGTACATACATAGTAAAATACACATAACATAAATTTGCCATTTCAGTCATTTTTGAAGGCATAATACAGCGCCTTTGTGCAATCATCACACGACCCATCCCCAGAACTTTTCCAGACAAACCCTCTACCCGTTAATAATCGTCATTCCCCACTCCTTGTTCTGAGACTTTTCTTGAAAGGAGACGAATGGCGGGGAGTTAGGGGCTGAGGTCTCTGGCAAGTTCTAGAGCTGTGTCTGTCCTGTGGCATGACCGGTGATCTCACTGCAGCCGTCAGGTATCACTACCTGCCATTTTGTGGTGGATACCCAAGAGGCCTTTCTGTGGGCCGGCTGGAGAGGTCTTGGATAGCCAGCTGCAGGGAAGAGGCTGCTGGCCTGTGTTATCCCTCCCCCAGGCTCTTCAGTATGTATCTCCTGGTTTCAGCCAGTCCTTTGCGGCAGCTCACGGCTTCTGCCACCCAGTGTGGAAGAACTGATCTCCATCTGGAAGATTTTTAGAGTAATTGGTACCAATAGCCTTTTCCAACTGTGTAATTACTTTAATATGGCCCTCTAGTATGTTTGCTTCTGGATAGGACTTTGTTTTGAAGAACCTGCTAAGAGGCCTACTGCAGGTGTCACTGCTAGACAAGGAGGGCATTGACTGTTGGCCAGGAAAGTGTTTAGCATTTTCACCCAAAGGCCACTGAGCGGCTATTTACAGAACAGTTTTGGTTTTGTCATTGTGCTCTGGCTGTTCGTAGTGATCAGACATTGCTTTTATGTACATTTCAAAGGCATTCTTTTGGGCCTGAGAACAAATGAGATTATTGCTATGGTGGAGACACCTACCTTCCCATTTGCTGGCTGAGCTGGTATCTAACACCTTTAAAACCAAATCCAGTTTCTTCAAGAGTCGATGAGAGGCAATCTCTTTGCCCTTTTAGAAGATCAAGTTTGGGAGAGAGCTTAAATGCCTCCAAATAGTTCAATGCTCAGTGAAATAAACACAGAAGAGAAGAACATGCAGCTTTTCTGACCCTTGCTTTTGTGTCTAATAGATAGACACAAAATTATATCTTCTTTTTTTTGAAAACTCTTGTCTGAAAAATCTGTATCCTTCTGAGGCCAGACTAGGATTGATCATCTGCCTAGTGAGAAATTGTCCTATAAAGAACTTTCATGTGTTTTTGGTAAATTTCAACACAAGCCTGCATCAGAACTTAATTCTGCCCTGGAATGCCTTGAAGAGAGGTTGTAGTTTAATCATAATTTTGTAATTAAAATTTATAAGAAGTGCTGTATGAGCAAACTCTTCCTCAGAATTTGATATATAACATGCATGTTAAATAAAAATGTCTAATGTAAAATATAGCGAGTGTAGACAACAGTGTTGTATTATAATCATCAAACTTGCAAAGAGATTAGCTCTTAATTATTTCCACCACAAAAATATAATAATTATGTGATGTGATAGAAGTGCTAACTATCCCTACAATGGCCATCATATTACATTATATAAATGTATCAAATCAGTGTTGTACACCTTAAATTTACACAGTGTTAAATGTCAAATATATCTATATTTTTAAAAGTCTGAAAGCTAGCCCTGGCCGGTTTGGCTCAGCGGTTAGAGCGTTGGCCTGCGGTCCCGAGAGACCCGGGTTCGGTTCCCGCTAAGGGCACGTACCTCGGTTGCAGTTTGTCCCCGGCCCTGATTGGTCGTGCGGGTGGCAGCCACTCGATGTGTCCCTTCACATCGATGTTTCTCTCTCTCTGTTCCTCTCTCTCCCTCCCGCTCCATCTGAACAAAAAATGGAAAAATGTCCTCGGGTGAGGAAAAAAAAAAAAGAAATTAAAAGTCTGAAAGCTATTCTTTAAATGTTGGCTGTAATTCAGTTTGGATGCTGAACTTACAAGTTTGGCTACTTTTCTTGTGCCCTTTTCCTTCTAATTTTGTAATTATGATTTACAGTAATTCTCCCTTATCCAAGGGGAATATGTTCCAAGACCTAAAACTGCAGCTAGTACTCTATGTATGTATATATACTACATGATGCTCTATATACTATGCATTTTCCTATATAGACTTACCTTTGCACTTAAAGAAAGGACTTTACACTTCTCTTTGGCATATCTGAATTGCCAGCATCACTACTCATGTGCTTTGTGGCCATCAATAAGTAAAATAAGGGTGGTTTGAGCACAAGCACTAGTTGATTTGATAGCCAAGTTGGTACTAAGTGACAAGTGGGTGGGTGGCCTATACAGCATGGATATGCTGGACAGAGGGATGATTCATGTCCCAGACAGGATGGAGTGGGATGGTGCAAGATTTCATCACACTACTAGAACAGTATGCAGCTTTAAACTTATAAATCGTTTATTTCTGGAATTTTCCACTTAATATTTTTGGACCACAGTTGACTGAATGACTGAAACAGTGGGAAGTGGAACTGCAGATAAAGGAGGACTCCTGTATCTTATTTTTCTAAAGAGGAAATTAAAATTTCAGATGCTTGCTTTATCCTTACTGTTTGAAATCTTCTGAGTCACTAACTTGGAGAGCTCAGAGTCCTGCTATTGTAGTTGCCTCTGTTTGTC